TTTGTTTTGTCGGTAAAAGCAATACTTTTAGCGACGACATGATAGTTTTTAACTACAAAAATTATAAATCATTTTTGTAAAAGCAAAGTCGTCACTAATTTATTCATTTAGGGACGAAACATTTTTTTGTATATAAAATATCATCTTTAGTGACGAAATCACGNTAATCATTTAGGGACGTAACATTTTTTTGTATATAAAATGTCATCTTTAGTGACGAAATCACGTTTTTTCAGCTACTAAATACATGTAACTTTAGAGACAATTAACATTGTCAGTGATTGAACTAAATAATTAGTGACAAGGTAGTTTCGTTGGTATTAATAATTTTTTAGTGACGAAAACACAATATCACCTACAAATTTTCAATACTTTTTCTGACAAACAAATTCGTCGTAAATACTATGCATTTGGGGACGAAAAAAGAGTTTCGTAGTTAATCTATCTTTATTTAGCGACGAAATACTAAGTTGTCTTTGTATACTTTTAGTGACCCACTTTTAAGGACGAGTGGTTGACAATTTATTTTTCGTCACAAAAGGTTTGTTGTGACGAAATATGATTTTTAAGCGACGAAATAATTTGTAACCGATAACCAAATTTGTTGTAGTGTGTTTATGCGTTGCAATTATATATAATAAATAAAGCATAAGGACAAAAATCTTAAATATTAGACTATATTTACCGTGGTAAGTTTTTTTGCACGAACAACTATATGTTGTACTTTCAAGAGGGATATCAATATCGGCAACAAGAGTTTTGCTTATGGCAGAGCAGCCAAAGCATTAGAAGTAAATATACACACACAAAAAACATCATCTACAAAGAAGTGTTCGGTAAGATACCATCACATTAAATATTTTTAAACTATAATACGTAATTATCTAACTAATATGCCTGAATTGATCATTTGTGTAAGTTCTAATGATGTCCTTTCTTTTTGAATTCCCGTATTATGCTAATGTAATAATATTTGTCGGTATTTAGATAATTGTTGTATTATTATACATAAAATTTCTCTCATTAATTATATTTTATCTTTCCTTCATATAAATAAATATTCAAACTATCACGTGTCATTATTAACGTGCAACGCACGTTCATAGATACTAGTAAATAGTTATATACATGTCAAGCTTTAAGAATACTAAATGTTTATCAATACAATGTTAAATATAAAGTAATACAAATAGATCTAAAATAGTCCAATCAAATGAGAAATAATTTATAAAAAAATGAGAATGAAAAGATAAGATAAGATAAAATAATTTAATATAATTTGGTAACTTAAAAGTTGAGGAAACTAGTGTTTTTTATGTTATGATCTATAAATCACTCATTAGAAATCTCAAGGATTAACATCACATTCCTAAGAAAAGTCCTTTATAGTTAGATTAAGCACGATGATAGGATTATTGATTATAACACACGTCATTTTGATTTGTATATAAACGATGAGATCACTAGCAGGCAAATGAACATATCGAAAACGACATCAATAAATAGCTTTAATAAGCAATGTTTCATGTAGACACTAAATATTTCACATGTTCATTTTTCTTTTTCTTTTTTTGTTGTGAAATTGCTATGCACATTATCATCGAGGTGTGTGATAGGATAGTCTAAGATCTATTTATTCTTAATCAAAGATCTTGATTACATAGATATGGAAAACATTTTGATTGGAAGTTTTTACCACTTTTAGTGAGCCTACTGCATAGCATGAATGATTAAAGCGAACGAAAGAAAATAATATGCCTATATTGGGATTTGGAAATTCAAAGGTTGGCGAGGCCACTGTGATAACCGATATCCAAGCATTATATTTGGCAAGAATAAAAATTATATAATTGGTTCACCAAACAAAGAGACGTCAGAAAAGGAAGAGGAAATTATATTCCTTTCATAAATAACTAAAAAGGTGTGCTAAGCTACTTAGCTATCATAACACCCCCCACCCCCCACCCGCCAACCCGGATGCCATTTTCAAAGTTGCTATCCTTTAATTTTCTTATATAAAAAGTAAAATTTTAACGTATGTAGCGTCTTCAAATTCTTCATATAATTCCAACCGTTATTTAATACTATTAAAAGTCAATATAAAATTTATGCAAATGTTCATTATGCAAGCTCCGAAAAAATCAAACTTAAATCATATACATTGAAGAAATGGAGTACTATATTAAACTATTTTCGTAAAATAAAAAAATACGAATAACGTAAGAAGAATAGCTAAAAGAAAGTCGGAGTAATTATAATCTGGACTCTTACAATATTATCCCGTTCATACTCAGCTTGTTAATTACGTTAATTGAAGTCCGAAAAGTCCCTCGCATTGGGAAAAGCTGAGATAGCAAACGCCTTTCACACTAATTAGATGCTCAAATAGTAATACTTCACGATACCACAGGGCATAATTAATCGATGAAACCCTAATTCACAAGTAGTCACTAATTAAAGTGAATTCATTTGGTTTTTAGACTAAAGGGTTTGTTGCTGATGATCCATAACCATTCATTAATCCAGTCCAAGATCCTAGCCCGCCAACACTAGAATAATAGCCAAATGACTCTTTTCCAGTATCAGAGCAGCCTTGGACTTGGTCATGCCATTCCAATGACAAAATCTTGGGATTTGGCTTCACGTCAACTGCATTAATAATTTGTTCCTCATGTTGATTATTTTCATAATTAGGCAGCATTAGCCTCTGATGATGATGAGAAGAATCCATTACGGTTATTCCAAAATTGTTCCCAGCATCCATAGTCGTCATTCCAAATGCAAAATTTGGTGCAATAATATTTCCGTGACTATTAATTTCATGACCAAATCCAGTAGGACTACTAATCATTCCAACATTGCCATTCCCAAGAAAATCTTGGTTTCTAGAAGTAGTACACCCCACTAAAGCTTCGTACTTGCTTTCCATAAAATCAATTGCGGTTGGATTTTCAAGCATGAAATTATTACCTTGACCAAAGTTGTTACTACTCATGAAGTGATGATGAGAAAAGGGCGGCATTTGATCTGGGAATGAAAGCTGAAGATCAGTAGGGTTATTATTACTAATAGATGAATTTTGGTTATTAGCTGTTTCAATATTGGATTTTTTGGAGGAGACTTTTTTGTTTTTGCGACAACCACCACCAACAGGGATGTTTCTTAAAGTACCACCTTTAGTCCAGTACCTACGGCAAGTCTTGCAAAAGTAGCGAGGCTGAGAAAGGCTGTAATTGTTGTAGTAACAGAATTTGGTGTGGGTAGAGTCGCAGCGAGGGCATTTGATAGAATAGTCGTGTGGGGGTCTTAGTCTTCTTTCTACTATTAATGGCCTTGAGCATGTGAGAATGTCCTCTGATATTGGCAATGAAGAAGAATCTATACCTGCTGCACCCTCCTCGTGAATTGTGCCCTGACAGTATGCATGTAAAAGAAGTAAAGCAGTCAGACTATCAGATCTACTAACATTCTTTTGTTGTCTATTTAAAAAATGCACTAATTAGCTATACTACAATGCTAGAGTCTTGTGTATTTCCCAAGAAGCTACAGGGAATGTCTGCAGAATGATATGTTGATTGTTTAGGACTTGACTGGTAGTGGTAGCTACTATTCTTTCACATAAAATCTAGTCAGTGTCGATGATTTTTTTTCTTTCAATTTTTATTTCTGAAGTTATGCACTTGTACTAATGCCATAAAAAGCTAGAATAATGCAAGTTTTTGGCTTCTCCATTTTCAGTTTCTATCTGGTATATCTTTCTCATTTTGGATCGATGTTCAAATTAAGACTAAAGACACTAGAGGCAAGTGCGAATACAGAGTTTCACATTCTTTTTGCACTGCAAAAGTGCTAGTCTATAGACTTTGAAGAAAATAGTGTAAAAGTGTGAAGACAATGAAATTTATAATATGTGCTGCCGTACTGCTGGTAAGAGACATGGAAGGTATAGAGTATATAAAACATTTAAGAAAATATATTATGCATGGCATTCAAAATTCAGACCTGTAACCAGTCAGAGGAATCCATGCAAACTTGTAGAGAAGAAATCCCCATTAATTAGTTACTGTGGCACACTCTTTTCAACTGCAGTACACCATTGCCTCAGTAGCTTCTTCCCTGAGAAATTTTGTAGTTATGTGACTCCGTGAGCTCTCTAAATATTCTTATTACTAGTAGATAGAGGGGAGGAGGAAGACATTAGTATTAACTGATAAATCCAAAGGGATAGTGAGATAGAAGATTGATATGCTTTGTGGGTGTATGATATGCAGTTGAATGGAAATGGGTGCTGAGCATGTAAATAAGAAGGAAGAAAAAGGCAGCCGTGGGGCCTGGTGTGTAAGAAATATTTTACTTTTTTAGGTCAAAGAAATATAACTATAAGTAAATCTACTTAACATATGAAATTTATATTAAAGAACAGATATGTTATCTATTGTAATATGACATTTATATTTAAAAAAAGTTATGTTATCTATCGAAATTTATGAGAACTTATTTATTTGGGCGTAAAATTTAAAAAAGAATAAAAGACTTTTGAATTTTGTGATACAAATTATAGTAAGTATTATTTTTAAACTTAGAGAGAGATTATCTTTTATAACAAATTAACGAGGAAAAAGTTTCAGTAGAAAGTAAATTTAAGTAATACTTTTAATATATGACTAATGTCCTAATTAATATACATAGTTGAAACTCTCACAATAGCTCAACCATGACCCACAGTAGCTCAGCTTGACTGCAATGGTTGGGGCTGGACGGCTGCGATATTCAGTTGTGGGAATGTGAAACGATGATTCTGATACGATTCTTTACGTCAGAGATAACAGCGTCGAATTCAGAGTAGTCTATGTCTGACGTGACAACTACTTAGTGAGAATATTTGGGTCGTCGATAAAGGCACTAGGTGGGCCCAATTAGTAGGAGCCTGGGGCACAACAAATGAGCTGATAAACCGAAAGAGCACTCCATTTGTGGACCCGATTAGACTGTGGGGTCCAGTGGAAGGACATTATGAACCCCTCTTCTTCGCTTCTTACAAGCAAGGTATAAATTCTCCTATGACGTGGCTACTCTTCTGCTGACCATGTGTAGTCTCATTAGATCTATATTTGGGTAAATTAAACTATCTTCGTCAAAATATGTGAACGATATTACCGGCGGACTTATGATATATCCGGGGGCGGCCAACCTCATCAGAGGTCTAAAGCAAAATCTTAATAAGAGGCTTTAATATATATATATATATATATAATGAACATTATTTTTTTAAAAATTAGACAAGTGAGGATATATAATTAAAAAAAATGAGAACTTAGTTTTATAAAATACAGAAAATTAAATGAATTTAACGTTGATTGCATCACAACTGAAATGGGAGAATCCAGAAAACATAAGTGACTCCTTTTTTTTAGTAAGTCCTTTTTTATATTTGGTAACAATTCAACTTTAGATTNTATATATATAAAAGAAAGTGATATATTAGTAGTGAGCACCCTAAACACGAGCAAATTTTGATTGAATTCAAAAGTATTTCTCTAACATTCAAATTCTAGGTTCGCCTCTCGATATTAAATTAGTGGCAAGTCGGTTAACATATGCTATAACAATAGTATATCTCTACGGACTATTTTCAAGTTGAAACTAGATATAGACAAGAAAATTTAACCCAAATAGTCGTTCACCTAATCTCTTAAACTTAAAATAGTCGACGGATGTATAATATATATATATATATATATATATATATATATATATAATTTATGTATAATTATATATAATTAATGTATAATTTATGTATATCGGCTAAAAAAAGTAAACATTAAATCTGAAAGACTATTTGTGTAACAATCCTTATAGACAATAATCTGAAGATAAAATGAAGTCAAAGAATAGCTATTGTCGTACATATCAACTTAACATTTTGTTATTTTCAACGTCAATGTTATAAAGAAAAATCAGAATCTAAGTGGGAGAGACCAACGAATCCTACGCAGGTAGGCAAAATTAACAAGGGTCTTTGGTAATTGAGAAAGCAAATGAAACAAAGTGATTTTTTTAATTAGTTATATATGCATGGACGAAATAACTTTTATTGTATATTTTGCTTGTTAGCGATCGTTATATCATATGAATAGTTGTTAACAGCTTGTTTCAGCTTGTTTGGATGGTTGTTACATGTTGTGTTGTATCATATTGATACTTTAAATACAATGTTTATGTGATTGTTACTTAAATTTTATTATTTCGTATCGTTATATCCGTCGTTACGTAACGGTGAAAAGTGTCACTTTATGGAACGACCGATTTGGTGTGACCGCGTCGTTTCCTAATTTTTTTCATCTCATCTTGCCCTTCCTTATTATTAAATAATCATATTTTATCTTTTACCCTACCTTCTTATATAACAATTTTATCTCGTACCTTACTTTTTCTTTATAATATTACAAGTTTATTCTTCATAACATTATGAAACGACGACAAACAATACAATTTACCCAAATATTGAATACATCAAAACGATACAGTACAATACAATACAAAACTATACTATACATTATGTAAATAGGATATTGAATGATTGTTTTCTCCAATACTATTATACACATTAGTTTAAATTTAAGTAAATCAAACTACAGTACCTATAACCATAGCCTACATAGGTGTAGTTTAACAACTAAAGCCTAAATACTAAAGTTACTTGATTGAAAAACTTGGGAAAATAAGTGTATAACTGAAATAGGGCCAGAATGCACTTTATCCCTGGGACATTAGTAGGAATAAAAATTTGGAAACAGGAGTGGTTGAAAAGCTAAGCCATTTATTCATCTTTTTAAATTAATTATTTACCGGAGGAAAAAGAGGAATATATCAATATAACTTTCTTCTTCTGCCGAATAACAAAAAGAGAGAAAAAACATCATTTTCCTCAACTTGAAAAATATTATTTTCTTTTGTTTAACCTTTCTCATGCTTTTCGCTGGATAGCATTCATCATAACTTTGTATTAAAAGGAAAAAGAAAAATGAAAGAGAAATCGATAAGATACGGTCAAATTCCTAGAAGGGTTTTCTCACTTTACTGATCAAATTTCCCTTAAGTTTTGGAAGGAAAAAGTAAAAGAAAATCCAGCATTATAAAACACGAGGTGGGTCGCTAAAACCCTACTGCCTAAGCAGAGAGGACCAAAGGTAAAACTTAAAAAGGATAAATTAGCCATCGCTAGATAACGTCAGAGACACGCCTCGAATGCTTAACAAGGTTCAAAGTACAAAAAGAAATCATCATAAAGTTGATTAAAAAAGGGGGGGGGGGGGGGGGGAATGGCTGTGCAAAACTGACAGTTTTTGGTAACGACAATGATCTTTTATTTTCAATATCAATCATTGGATTCAAATTGCTATCCCATTCCCCGAGGAAATATCGAAAATAGAAGCGACCGCGAAAACAAATAATCATATAGTAGCATTCATGATTCTAATTTCATGAATTACTAATCAGTGACTACTGACTAGGACCATTTATTTTCTGAATTCAGACCCAATCATTAATTTAGTTGATGACTTTTTTTTCTGCTTCTTTTCGCAAAATCTTCTTTCCCTTGTTTTCTCCAAAGTGCGCAAGAACAAGAAGAAACAAAACAAAATCATGTACTCTTGATTGTTGAAGCATTTCACATATATAAGATGGGAGTTTACGTAGGACCCCTAGTTGTCTACCCTTGATTGTTATCCCAAAACATTAATGTGAAGGATAATAGGCAACACCCAAGATTTCATCTCCCATGGTAATAGCCATTGATGTATACGGTCGAAATAGATTCCGGTCTTCGTACGTCTGATCGAGTTCGAAAGATAAGCGATCGAAGTGAGACTTCGAGATGGATTCCGAAGATGGTACAAACAAGCTTCGAACCCGAGGGGCCGATCAATGTCGAGTTCGATATCATTATCAAGATCGAATCCAAATCGAACTATGATGCAAAGTAAAGCTATCAAGTTTATGATCCAGAGACCGACCAACATTGACTCCGAATCAATTCAAGGGTCCGAGTCAGAATCGAGCTTAAGCCAAGATCGAGAGCTCGAGTCTGGATCGAGCTCAAGCCAAAATCGAGAGCTCGGGTCAATATCGAGCTCACAGACAAAAGCCATTGCAATCCCACTAGAGGAGAGAATCTTGGCAGGAATTGTGAAAAAGCTGATTTATCATGGACTTCCCACTAAGTATTTTTAATTATATTTACAGTAAGATCTCTTTACTATAAAGGTGGAGGGTTATCATTTCTGTAATGGGCCGTTTTCGGATAGAGCTCACATTGTAATTCAAGTACCATATCCTCTTATATTCAAGAGTTACTCTTTTAAGTCTAAAAAAACTGATCCATCTTACTTAGTCCTAAAAATCATCTTCTTTACAACTTTATTTATTTTACATTCTCTGCAGTCCATATTTGATATTTTCTTTTATCCTTACGATTTGTATTAAGCTATATCACATATCCTTAGAACTATGTATAAATTCAACTCTATCCATTTTTCGGGTAAACAGTTTGGCGCCCACCGTGGGGCTAAGGATAACAGTAGTTATTTGATACGAATCTGAAAAAATACGCCATTGTGTTTTGCGCTTATTTCCAAAAATATCTTGAATTTCGGATTAGCTACGACTAACCACCAATCAAATGGCTTCACCAATCGACAACGGAGCTGGCCTTCAAGACGAAACAACAACTTGACACCCAGTACTGAAAAACCACTTGTAAACGCTGTTGGAGCTCAAATCGGAGCGCCAATAGATATTAATTTGCATGTAGCCATTGAGGCGAACCTACATGCTGAACCTGAGAATAACATCCATGGTGGTACTCGGTCTGCAGCTCGAGATATCCATAATGCCGAGGAAAACGACGTTAGCTTGCGTATGATTTTCGAAATATTGTAAGCCCAACAAGTAGCAATAGCTCAGTTGCAGAGCCAAACCCAGCTACAGAGCAGGCCAGAGCCCAGTCCTCCTCGAGAAATCACCCACAGAACGGGGCCAGTCATAGTGAAGTCAAATGAGCAAGAATCGGGGACTACTCCCGAAATTGCTAAATTGCTCGAGGAACTCACAAAGTGAGTCGAAACCAACGATAAAAAAGTAGAAACTTATAACTCTAGGGTCGATCAGATCCCGGGAGCTCCACCAATGAGAAAAGGGTTGGATTCGAAAAAATTCGTGCAAAAACCTTTTCCCTCGAGTGCAGTCCCGAAACC